GTCGGTATTTTCGGTATCGGTATATACCGAAGTTCGGTATTTTCGGTATCGGTATATACCGATGTTCGGTATTTTCGGTATTCGGTATACCGATACCGGTGCATACCTAAGATAAACCGTTCCAATACCTTTATATGTGTCTTCATGCGAAAATGCGCCAGTTCTAGATAAAGAATCGCCCTTAATACGAAAAAGTAAGAAAAATCTAGTCACAGAACGGAATGGCAGTGTCCATAATATGCTGAATCTTGTAGGGTAGAGGATTCTTCATCTTTCAAATGTGGAAAAGAGCTTGAAAGTATATGGTGTACTGAACAGATTCAGTATGTGGGGTGCTTCGATTTGTTTTTATTTAAACTCGTGATCTACAGAACAATTTAAGAAATGTGGCTCGTAACTCTTTTGAAGTGAACACATAAACAAGAACATCCAACGCTGAATTGGTATATCCTAACCACGAAAATATCTTAAACAACAGTTCATGATTTTGATCGTCTTTTAAACGAAAATAAAATACACCGCTAAGCATGAAATAAACAAAATATGGTAGCCAACAAACAACAAATACACCCATCACAATGCCTATAAATTTAGCGGCTTTTTGATCTTTGGAAAACTTTTTCCAAAAATTATTTGTTCGTATGCATTTTCGTCTGATTATATTTATAAACTTGTTGTCGCTTCTATTATTCTGGTGAAGCTGCTCTACGCTTGGTTTTTGATATTTACCATGATGGATACGAAGTGTTATTATTTCAGCTGACGGTCTACGATTTTCTAATAACATGGCTGACTTTTTATTTGTTCTACTTTCACGAATCGCTACTGTTTTTTCTTTTCTTGTTCTTTTTGCAGTTGAAATTTGTTTCAAACGAAATTTTGGAATGAATGACTCTGCAGATGTTATCAGATAGTGATGTTTGTAACCAGAACGGAGTGCTAATACTTGTTTTTTAGCTGCAGAATACATTTGAATGTAAACGTAAACCATAACGATTAACGGTAGATAGAATGACACAACAGATACAAATAAAACATAGTACGGATTATTTGGAAATTCACATTCTTTAAATAGCGACGATGACGCTGATATTGTTTCGTTTTTTCCTAAATTAACACGCAATAATGATTTACTGCTATACCTATAGATACTTTAAGAAAATGGGTCGCGTACTTTTCATACTGGGTGTTGTTAAACCTTTATTAAGTATAGTTCGTGTCAGAGGCTTAGGATAGGTTCTATTTTATCCATGGATGGATACAAATAGCTTTTCTGCTTAATGATCTGGTTTTCTGAACTATTCGTCTTATCCATCAATCTGCTTTGGCAATATCAACGACGGATTCAGCTCAACAATGTCGACTATTTTGTACTATTCACGTGTGGCCGTGATAATGATAGCTACTCTTCTTTGTACGAAAACCGTACAAATGTAACTATCATTGTTCACGGAGGAAAGTCATTTTTGCTCTAAAAATCTATGGTAGATTCATGTAATTGAAGAGAATGGCCAAAAAGAAAAATCTTGCTAATGGTCAATTAATAACCTATTATTTTGCGTGCTACGCCATAGCTTGACCGAGAAATAAGTTAGAAGGCTTATTCAAGCGCTGAAACCGATTAAAACGGCCTTCGAAAAACAGGTTGGATGAAACTATCAAGGTTTACTACTGCTATTTATATGTAATCAGATGTGCTATTTTAATCCAGTGGTTCAGATCATACTCTCTTACACAGAGAAACCTTAAACTGTCTCTATTTTACTTACATAACATACTACTAGTTATTATAATGCCAAAGATCTCTTTTGTAACTAATCAAAAGTCTTCTGTAAAAACAGATGTAGGAATGCATAACAGAAAACTGAATAATTCACTTACTATCAAGGAGTTTTTATCTAAGTATATATTTCAAACGAACGTAAGCAAGAAATCCATAAGACGCTCGTGCATTTTCATTCAAGCGCAACTTCGGGATTTCTTCAAAATGGATACTTACCTCATCGGATCACTCTATCTATGTAATACTGATAATGACGTAATGATTCATCCATCTTGTCAATAATGATTTACAGCCCTCATTAGTCATAAAAGGCAAAAACTATGATATCGAACAGTATGAGTTTACCTTCGACGTCTCGAGCTTTAAATCAAAATTCAACGTTATAGCATCTCTATATGATCAAAGGAATGATGGATTGAATGCACAACGATTTCGATAGCAAAAAGAAAAAGAAAACTTTGACTCACGTACGAGAAATCGCTCGTTCTGTTCCAAAATGAACAACAGCTGGAAAAGATATGACAGCTGAACATATCCATATGAATGACAACATATAGTAC